TAATAATAATAATAATAATAATAATAATAATAATAATAATAATAATAATAATAATACTAAGGGCCCCAGTACACTCACCATACACCAGCTCTCAGTGGGGAGGAGAACAGAGTGATGAACCCAATTGACAGATGGGGATTATTAGGAGGCCATGATTGGTAAAGGTGGGGGGGAAACTTGGCTAGGACACTGAGACTAACACTCTTACTCTTTTTAAGAATTACCCTGAGAATATTTAATGACCATGGAGAGTCTGGACCTTGGTTTTACATCTCATCTGAAGGACAGCGCCTTTTTTACAGTATAGTGTCCCCGTCATTATACTGGGGCATTAGGACCCACACAGACTGCAGGGTGAGCATCCCCTGCTGGCCCCACTAACACCTCTTCCAGCAGCAACCTTAGTTTTCCTAGGCGGTCTCCCACCCAGGTACTGGCTAGGCTCATGACTGCTGAGCTTCAGTAGGCTGTCAGCTGTGAGCTGTAGGGAGATATAACTGCTATCTTGGTGTTAATAATGTATCTTCTGTTGCTGTACTGAACCCACGAGAACAGCAAGAGAGAGATTTCATGCTAGACACGTAAACACCGAAATGCCAACCTCACCTCAGAATGCATGAGGAAGCATGTGGAAACAGGAGAGAGAAGGAAAGGAACAGGACGACCCACCTGAGAGCGAGCAACTCGTGTCCTGTCTTGTCGTCAACTTCGGGCCGATCTCCTGACAGTTGAAAAGAGAGGATCTTGTTTTGCTGCCACGCAAGTACAAATAAAACACCAGACACGTGCTACTCTCTCCATCACTTACACAGCCTTCCCGTTTTTCATTTCAGCAGGAATAACAGCGACCACGATTTAGGTGAATTGAAAATGTTAACTGAGTTTTAGTTGTAAGAGTTTTGGCTTAACCTGTCTAGCCATAGGATGGAGGAAGGGTGACCAAGGGGAAGCAGCAAAGGTGGAAATGGGGTGGAGGTGGGTTACAAAAGAGGAATGTGAAGAAGAAAAAATGTTTATGCATCGTGTAGTTTTTTAAAATTGAACAAAGGAATGATTGTGATTTCCGATAGCTGAGGCAAAGTGAACTTGTCCGCTGTCATGCCTCCCAAACCTTCATTGTACACCCCCTTTGCTTCATAAATTACGATAAATTAAACTTATATCTACTTTTCTTCCACACAAACAATCATACCGACATACAGTCCTGGTGCTATGATTTAAGAAAATCACTTATTCACTCTAGAAGAAGGAAAATTAGAAAACAAAAACACCTAATGTTTGAATTCTTCCAAAGACAAATGCAGAGTGTATGATACATGTTACATTTTAACTGAATGATTAAGAAGTGATTTAAAATGTTCAGTGGAGTCTACCTGATGTTGATATGTATTTTCTAACCTTCTTAAGACTAAAGAATACAGATGGGAGCTCCTTCATAAACCACACTGGGCTTCTTTTAACCCAACTCAGAGGCACCTTCACATTCAAAAGAGGAAGACCATTTTCAGTCAGAAAGAACCAACTCACGGTCACTGAGGTTGCTGTTGACCCTCTCTGCCAGTGCCAAGCTCTGTGCCAGCTGCTCTCTGAAGCTCTGGCCCATGTAGTAGTCAATGTCGTTGGCACGGAGCAGCTCTTCAAAGGACTTGGTGGTGTCACCCAAGTGCTGGGACAGGATGTGACAGACGCCACGTCCAACTCGCATCTTCTGCCTCAGGTGGGAAAGCTCACGGGCCTGCGCTTGAATCAGGGAATCATACTTCCTGGAGAGAGCACAGGGCCACCGTTAGCAAGGGAAATCTTCACAAGAATATGGAAATGGAGAAAATTCAATTGGAGACGCTACACATAATTATGATCCTTTACGCATTTTCTGCAGGAAATAACCTGCCTAGATTTCAGGTTTTATATAGTGGATATGGTGTCAATAACAGATTTTGAATAGCAAGTGCAGGAATGTTTCTTGTTCACCCCATTCCTAGTTCCCTACATGTGATTTAAGAGATGATATGCAGACTTAGGCATGTGACTTCAAGATATAACAGGCAAAAAAACTGAAGGAAGAAGTAAACGATGAACACACTACAGAGGTATGTAGTTTCTCTGTGGTGGTTTATTTGGTTGTTTCATTTGCACTTCCAAACAGGGGATTTGTTAGTAAGGGCGAGATTTTGTGATGCCGAAACCTTCTCTGGGTCAACATTTATTAGGATTAAAAAGATATACCGTAAGATAAAAAAGATCTTTTTTAATTGGTGCAATGGACACATCTATTTAATTAGGTTGGATGAACACAGCACAGCTCTATGCACTACTGATATGGCCTAAAGATTTTTTTAAATTAAAATGTAATTTGGAAAGTATAAGATAGAGACGTGCACGTCTGGTACAACAAGCCTTCAAAGATACTGGGCTTTGTCAAGGCTACTGACTATTATTGTGAATTTAGACGTCTATGTTGTCAAAATTCTTGCTGATGTCCCAGTCTACCATGAGGTAACATGTTAGATGGGCTTACTGATAAGTGTTAAAATTATAGTTTTTAATTGTTTCTGAATGAATGTGCTGAGCACTCAAAAAAGAGAAATTGGGAGTGTTACGGGCTCAAAGGCATACAGAAAAACCTTTTGGTGGAAAATAAACGTGTTAATTCCAGACTATCTATATCTCATATAGAAAAAGCATATCTACTGTGATTCTCTCAGGTGAAAGCAACTGAAATTGAATGGGTGGAGGGATCCATGCTAACCGTTCATGGGCAAAAGCAGTCAGTACAGACCGACAAAGAGCAGATCCTAGGTCTCGTTGTGCCACTATGTGGCAGCAGTGAGCCGTACCCACCCTGGCCAGGTGGCAGACTTGAGATCTTCGCTGGAAGCTTTGCCCTCCATCCTGGAGCTCTTGAGCTGCGCCTCCAGCGATGCCACACGTGCCACCAGCTCCTGCAGCTCCTTGTTCGGCCGCGGCGCCGGCAC